CCCCAAAACCCCAAAACCCCAAAACCCCAGGTGACTAATAAAAGCTCAATTATTTGTGAGCAATTAATCAATTTACTAATAATTGATAAATTTTAATTGTTTGAATTAGAAGAAATTCATTTTTTGACCCTAGTCTTTGATTACAGCTAGTTGAGCATATTCAGGATAATTCTTGGTAACCTGTACTAATTAAACATTCTAATGCTTTTATATACCAAACTCTTTAGATTCTTTATTAGTTTATTCTTAGAGAATATGATTATAAGTGCCAGTAGTAGTTAAAGAAACTAATAAAAACGACGTTGTTTTTATTATCTGAAATTTAAATTATCTACATCATTTACTATGAAATTTATGATTTCATCGTACTCTAAGCCACTTTAATATTTTTGAAGGTTAGTGTTTCTTAGATTTTCATGATACTTTATCACACAAATGGCTCTTTAGCAGTATTAATTTTAAAATTATTCTTCATTTAGAGCAGACTTATGATTTATAATTTTTTATTTTTAGTCAATAGTAGGTCTTCCTTAGACCTCTTTACAATCTTCAATCCAGCTAACATTTTCACATTCAATGAGAATTAAAATTGTGTAAAGAGCTGAAATTAAATCATCTCCTTCTAGAGATACTTTATCGTCTGTTGTAAATATAGAGGATGTTGCGGATGTACCAACATTATCTTAAAACTAATTGGAATCTTCAACTAAGAATTAAATGCAATTTGCAGATCCAAAATCGATTAGATATATCTAGAAATCCTCATTTTATATTGGCTCTTTAACTCTGAAATTATCTGGCTTTATATCTCTGTGAAGATAGCCAAACTTGTGCAGTTGTTTTATTATTGTGACGATTTAAGTTATCAATTTAGGCAAATCATCTTATATGTTATTTAATATTTTTGTAGTGTAATAGTTATCCAAAGAATGAGGAAGATAATCTAGTACAATATAGGTAAGTTTTTCATCTCTATCATTCTAACAAGTATAATTACCATCGTAATAAATCTAAGGGATCCTTAAAATTTTATCTCTATTTTTTAGTTAAAGATCTAGCAAGCATTTCTTTTCAACTTGAAATTTAAAGAAGCCATTTTCATTAAAAATTTTCAAAGCAAAATGGCTTTCTTCTTTATTTTTGTAAAGGCATACTTTTCCATAAGCTCCATTATCTATGTCTTAAACATAGGTATATTTTTTAGCAATAGTTGAAGGTACTTATAATTTTTGCATGTCAAAAGTCTTTAGTTTTAAGTAGTCAGATTTTTGATCAATCTTATTTTTTAAATTATACTCTATTTTAATTTTTATCCCTTTTATTTTCTGTATAATTCTATTCATTGGGGTTTTGGGGTTTTGGGGTTTTGGGG